ATATATTAATATTCACAATTTAAATATGCATATATATATATATATATGGATATGGGATATACTCAAATCAGTCTTTTAATGCAAATGAAAAGACACGATACAGAGTAGATGTTGGTTAATTAAGGTGCAGTACGGAGAAACAAGACAAATTGCATATTTCTACAAACAATGTCTTACCATATCCGCGTACATCGCGACTCTTATATCCTCACACGAAATCTCTACGTGACGAATATTCTTGACATAATTTCCAGCTAGCTGAAAAGAAAGTAATGTTAAATATTTCCAGGCAATTCTTTCAAAATAGAAACAACAACTAACTACCAACCTTCAAAATATCAGCAGAAATATATTCCAAAACACCGACTACAAACAGGCTAACTTGCGAGTCAATTTTGTGCTGTAACACTTCCTAAAAAAAAAAAAAAAAAAACAAGAATGTATTACAATTACAAAAGTTTGATTACATGGTTTTACATAAGATTCTTGAACTTGCATGCAAATGTGTAAATAAACTGTGCCATAAATATGTACTTTTTGTAATAACTGATGAATCTTGTCAACTGGTAGTACTAACGGCGACTTCTTTTTCCCTTTCTCTAGAGCGTCTCTTGCATCACGAAGAGCCCATCTATCAATAGGTGTAGGAAACGTCCGTCTTACTCTTTCCTCTACATCTTGAGGAGTCTGTGGAGGTGGATGTCCACAAAGCATGCCTAGCATTCTTAAAATTAAACTCTCCACATAGTCTAAGGCATCTTGGCGAGCTTCGAGACTAGGATGTACTTGTTCTAGTACCTATAAAGTAACGAGAAAATGTTTTTCTTGGCTATTAACGCAAGTATTTGTAGTATATTGTTGTTATCAATTATATTATTGGCCAAAGATACACAATTATATTACCAAATATACTTTAGGACAGATATACGTCGACGAACGTCGGAGAGTTGACAGAGTAGGAGACTAGAGATAAGCGCGAGGATACGATATAAAAAAATCTACCAATCGTCGATGTTGAGACAGGGGAAGGCATTTGAGAAATCATATGGTGACCGCGCACGGCGATGACGTCGTCGGTCTCGGTGTCGTTGATCGATCCAGCCTCGACGTAAAATCATTGGGACGAAAAATGATCGAGCGCTGGAGCGCGAACAAAACACGAGAAGGAGAGGCGGGGGTGAGATGGAGGGGATAGAACGGGATAGTAAAAGACAAGAAAGCGAGGTATACAAGACGGGGGCATGGAACGAGCGAAAAGGAGGGAGGGAGAGAGGGAGAGAGATAGAGAGGTAGAGAGAAGGAGATAGAGATAGATGAAGCGACAAGGAGCGGAGCGGACTCAGCGGACTGCGGAGCGGAATCGAAGAAGCGGAGCAACGAAAGATGTACCTTGCGCAGAGAGTTGACAAACACTCCCTTCCACTTGGCAGCGTTCTCCTCCTTCTGAAAGTCGTAGCCCGACGGCTCGCCCACCGCTGACGCCGGCGACGAAAACATTTCACCGAGTGCTCGAGAGTCACGCGCGCTTGTCTAATTGTAAGAAAAGTTCGTGGGATTTCCAAAGGGCATATCGTCAGCATTCGCGAGAAATCGGCCGAGACGTCCGTGGTGTCGTTCCGCGGTCCTTAGCTCTTTAACATCTCAGTCTCCTTGCGCGCTGGCAGCCCGATCGCCCAATTGCCCGATGGCTTTCGTTGCTCTTGACAGTGTACTCGACGATCGACAGCTAAGCCAGACGATTGTATCTGTGCGCTGCTCTCGCGTTCCACGCGCTCGTCGTTCCCGGCAGCGTCACCGAGGCTGATGAGGCCGAGGCCGTGACCGAGCCAAGAGTCCGAGCTGTCCGAGAGCTCTGGCACTCGCACATCTTACACGCCCTTTATTCCGTGATTTTTCCCTGAATCCGTAACAAGCACCAGCGTTAACATCACCGACATCGAGAAACTGGAGCTGGCAACAGGCAAAGTGGCAAGTTGGGAACTGAGCATTGAGCAACTGAGAACTGAGCCTCTCTATGATGGCCGCGAGAGGCCCGCGATCCGCGATACATACAATCGCCTTCGGACAATTTATCGATAAATAGGAGTAAAGGGATGGGCAGTTGGTTCGATCGATCGATTACCTCACCGATGTTTTCAAATTCGCCCAATCCCCAGTATCCCCACTGATCCCTACGTCACCGCGTTCCTTCTTGTCCGCGTCCGACCTGCGAAATTTTTACTAGACTTTCATAGAGACATGTCATAACGACGTGCTCGGCTCGAAATTTTATTTGCCGCACAAGTTATATTTTTCGGACCAGCCGATTGGCCATCGAGATGGAAAGGGGGGTGCTCTCTCGGGACTTTGGGAATTCTCTATCCGACTAGTTGGAATCTAGTAGATTCCAACTTTGCCGCCACCGCCGCCGCCATCTTATGATTGTACATACAACGCCCTACTGTTTATTGGTCTATATTTGACCAATTAGGAACAATTTCACCAACCACAGTTAGCTTAACCGATGGTTAAAGTTAGCAGAATTGACCAATAGAAATGAATCCACCCTGCTTTCTATTTGTCAATCCTGCTAACTTTAACCGTCGGTTAAGCTAACTGTGGTTGGTGAAATTGGCCCTTAAGCCCGTGGCACATAGAAAAACTTAAACAGTAAAACTCAAGCAGTAAGCAAATCAGCCAATCACAGTCAAGAACTTAAGGCACGGCCCTAAGCGGTAGCGAATCCATACCGTTGATTTCTTATTGCTTAAGTTTTACTGCTTAAGTTTTTCTATGTGCCAAGGCCCTTAGAAGGAGGAAGAAGTTCGCGTTTCTCTACTAAAATATAGGACTCTAAGGCCGGTATTCATAGTCGGTTCTTATATTTAAGACCATCTTAAGTACAATCTTAAGATGTCATTAACCAATCACAGAGCCGTATTAGCATCTTAAGATATTACTTAAGACGGTCTTGAAATAAGAACCGACCATGAATACCGGCCTAAAGCCCGTTTCAGACTACGGATTGGGATTGAGATTGGATTGAAATTTAATCAATCAGAACAGAGAAACTGATCTCAAGTTTAGTAAACTTAGCTCTGATTGGTCAAATTTTAATCCAATCGCAAACCTAATCCATAGTCTGATACGGGCATAAGGCCTGGTTTCACCAACGTAATTTAATCTAATCGGTCGATTAAACTCAATCTTCGTCTCTTTCTAACTGTCCCCCTAGAAAGAAACGAAGAGTGAGTTTAATCGACCGATTAGATTAAATTACGTTGGTGAAACCGTGCCTAAAGCCCGGTGTCCACGATGCAAGAACTGTGTCTAAGTTTCGATTTAAGCCAATCAACTTGCAGCTCTTACAGAAAAGTAGCAGTTTCATTGGCCTAAACCGAAACTTGGACACAGTTTTTGCATCATGGACACCGGAAAGGTCTATCCAGACAAACTTGCATAGGTGCATAACCATATGCATAAAGAAACGGATTGGTCTATTTTCTTATGCACATGCATATGGACCAATCAATTCTCTTATGCTTATGTTTATGCGCTATGCAAGTTTGTCTGGATAGACCTTTCCGGTGTCCATGATGCAAAAACTGTGTCCAAGTTTCGGTTTAGGCCAATGACCTTAATGTGGGGTCTACAATGCGAGTCGTAAGAATTGACCAATCACAATCGAATTTGAGGAGAATAATCGACTGTGATTGGTCAATTCTTGCGACTCCCATTGTAGACCCCGCATAAAAGGTAGGACATGGGCAGTGAAATGCTGTAGCAGCGAGCAGCAGTTTAGTAATTTCCTAGAAATCTTTGGCTCATTTTTGACGCAAATGTTTGCTGCTCATGAAATTGGTCCTATACAGCCAATAGCTAGCCGACAGAAATGACTTGATTATTTTTAGTTCTTCTGAATATATTTCGTTCATAAATCGTTTGTGATTGATTCTGAAGGCCAATTTCACCAACCACGGTTAGCTTAACCGACGGTTAAAGTTAGCGGTATTGACCTTAATGCGGGGTTTACAATGGCCGTGTTCAGCAGACACAACTGTTGAGTTCGTCTTATCAACACTCTGCGTTGATTGATTGGTTCTAAAAGTAAGAGCCAATCACGTTCGACTGTTACTCAACGGCTTGGTCTGCTAAACGCGCCCAATACCACCAATACTATTGGTCAATACCGCTAACTTTAACCGTCAGTTAAGTTAATCGTGGTTGGTGAAATTGAGTCCGTTTTTAACATTTGTGACCAATTAGTTTTTTTGAAATTAACCATTTTATTTTAGTCACACGATATGTCAGCCGACACTTTTTAGTAATTATATAAACAGATTTTGTGATAACTATAATTAATAGGAAATCGTTTGTGACTTAAGCCTTGTGTCCACGATGCTAGAACTGTGTCCGAGTTTCGGTTTAAGCCAATGAAACTGCTACTTTTCTGTAAGAGCTGCAAGTTGATTGGCTTGAACCAAAACTCGGATGCAGTTCTAGCATCGTGGACACAAGGCTTTACAAATATACTAGTGTTTTACGTTTGAGGAATAATACATTTCTTAATTATTTGCAAAATACCCGTGGTAAAAGTCACGGTGCGGTGGCCAATCACTTCTCACCTTTCTGGAACTAGCGAGAGAGTATTGGCCACGCGTTCCTAGGGTGGAAACGTGAAAAGTTTCATGTAACTTATCAGGGTTGCGTTCCAAAATTCACTCTGAGTAACTAAAATCTATAGTTTACGTCACTGTATGTACACTATAGCATTTTAGTTAACTAGAGTGAATTTTGGAATGCAGCCCAGCTCTTTCTAACAGAAAGAGATAGTTTTGGAGCAGCTGTCATATCACGTTTGTTTAATGTTTACAGATCTTTTAATAAACTGAAAACTTGACCACCATGCGTAAAGGCCCATTTGGAAGAATGCTACTGGCGATTCGAACGATTTCGCAGTCATTAAAAAAATCATCAACTCGCTCAAAATTCAATTTGTCGTAATGATCTCAAAGCGCACGATAGTTGCAACATTACATGTATTGTACACATACAGTATAGGATAATTCCAAGATTAACAAGACCAAATAATTTTTATTGTACGTATTGGTTCATAGGCTCGTAAGTCCATTTTGGAAAAACTCGTTTGTACAAATTCATCAACACTGTATCCTGAGACTTTAGTTGATCATTGAAGATGCACTTCATGTGTCCGTGTGTACCTATGAAAAATCGAAAGTGAATTACACTTACTACTTATTTAGCGGTAAAAGTAAAAGTAAAGGTAAAGCTATACCAGTGCAGACACAAACAAAAGAGATGCAGTTGATATATCGCGACATCAACCATTAAGGTGATCCTAAAGCCGTGATCCTAACTGGTTTTTCTCAGTTTTTTTCTTAACACTAATCTTTTAATTGACTTTATAGAAATGCAAAATTCTTGTCTAGAATTAAAGTACGCATCAAAATCTAGGTCATGGTGGTCGAATTTATATCGAAAACGAAAAAAAATTAATATTTTTTGTTATACGTGACGACCACCACATATAAAATCGACCACCATGACCTAGATTTTGATGCGTACTTTAATTCTAGACAAGAATTTTGCATTTCTATAAAGCCAATTAAAAGATTAGTGCTAAGAAAAAAACTGAAAAAAACCGGTTAGGATCACGGCTTTAGGATCACCTTAATAATCAACTATTTACCAAGGGGTTCCTTTATATGGCCTCTACGTCCATATTTGGTTCTCAATTGGATTGGCTTGAACCATTCGATATCTTCGCGATGAAAGAACATGAAACGCACAACCACCGATCTTTTATTCACCTTGTACGGGTGACCACTCAAAACAACTCGTTTTAGGACAATTCTGTTGGGATTACAAGATAACACACTACCAGTCGCAATTAATTCCTGAAATAACATCATTATCATTTCAACTAGATAGAGGACTCACAGTCTCGTGTACGATAAAGATTTAATATAACATGTAATATAATAATATTAACAAAATACATACGAGCTTGCCACTTTTATTCTCGACGTAACATAGGATTGGACACGGTGAAAAAGTAACCGGTGCATACATACTCGCCACTACAGTACTATCGGGGTGAAAGTATCTCTCGTACTAAACAAATATATTTGTCACGATGAAATATAAATTTGTACAAGAGATTATATAACTTAATGTTTTTTTACATTATAAAAGCGCATCGACCCACCTTATGCTTGGCACCGTTTGTATGTTGGCTAAATATTGGACATGCCGCAAATCGTCTAAATCCACATTGAAATATCAATCTTTCCTTTGACTTGATTGGTCGTGTGTAATTGCTCGAATGTTTCAACACGATGTTTAAAAGAGACATTTTATGCTCATAAGGAAGTAAGGCGACCACTATTAATGGTTTATTTTCTACCATAGCAAATGCCTTGAAAGCTTCTCTGTTAACATGGATGATACAAACTTGTATATAAGATCCTGGCTGAAAGTATATACATACATACATACATATGTATACAAATAAACATTTAATGCAAGATTAATACTGAAAAAGAGAAAAAAAATTCGTCAATATACGTACCGTGACACCTTCGATATCTTTACGTTCTTTATAAATACATTTTCGCCTGCGATCGTAATCGGCGAATTCAATTATCCGAGAATAATCAATAGGAAGATTTTCCTTTGGATCCCATGGACTAGTACGGAATGATTCGAGACCTCGATATTTTTGGAATCTTGCTTTAGCCAAAATGTTTTGAGGTGTATCCACTTCGTCGGGAAATTGCGCGTCCAATTTTGCCTCTGTATGTTATTAGAAAATTATTGCTAAAACGATAATCAAGAATGATACATTAAATCAGTAGATACATAAAATTACAGTAACCTTTGAAGTTTTCCATGGCTTGCTTTTCTTCAAACATATCAATATCCTGGTCGTAACGCTCCTCATCCAGTGGCGCTTCCGATATCGTAATGGTCTCATATTGTTCGTCATCCTCCAAATCTTCACTACTGGCTGCTTCAGATCTTGCCTCTTCCACAGACATATTGTCCTCCGATTCATTCCCCGAACATACACCGAGGCTTTCTAAACAAAGAAAAAAAATTTGTTTTTAAAAGTTTTTAAAACAATTAAACGAGATTAAATACAATTTTTTAGGAGAGAACGGAGAGAAAGAGAAAGAGAAGAAAACTTATGTAATAACCTCCATCTTCATCCGGTATCCATGCAGCTTGATATTCAGAGGTTCCTTTTGGCACAACCTTGACAATTTTTCTATTTCTATTGTTTGCCGCTTCAGCCAATTCCTCTTTCGTAGGCCACGTTTGTTCAGCGTCCATTGGGTCAGGAATATATTCACTTTCGAGGGATTCCTATAAATTTTAACATTTTTAATTTAAATTGCACGTATCGACATGCAATTTTATTACTAATGCTATTAAAAATCGCATATATAATGCAATAAATTAGCAATAATTTGGACACGTTCTCTATAAATGTTCGTGATTCCCATAATAATTTCTCACTCTCACTCTCTCTCTCTCGCTGCTCTTAATGCTGTTCAAATACTCGCCAGAATACTTGCAATACCGAAGATATTGATAAGAGCGTTAATAATACTCGCTTAGGAAGTTTTTGTAGCCACACCTATTTCGAGATTCGTACAAGTTATCAATATAAAAATATGTGCGAGAAACCTGTTTTTCTGGGTCTGCAGTTAGAATCATTTCGGTTTCATTTCTCTGTTCCGTTTTCATTTTATCATCAGAAAGATACTTGATCCTCTCACCGTGTTCAATTAAATACGGATCTGTCGACGTTTTGATGCAAGACATTTGAAAGTCTCCAAAACCTGGTATGTGAACCAAATCATTGGCCGACAATGGTGCGGTGCCTCGTAAATATCCACTGACCATGAGAGTTCCAAACTCAGGAGAATCCTGACGAGATAAGAATTACGTGATAATTAAATGGTATTCAATCTGATCTTTACGCACAATACACATTTTTAAATACAATAGTTTTACGTACTTGATCACATTCATAGGAGACTTTCTCGGCCAAAAGATATGGTCTTATATCTTTGTAAAACAAACTTCTTTGCTTTTGTGATCCAGCACGCCGTAACATATTTAAGCAATCGGCCGCAGTGTCCAATTCAAGAACTTTTTCTTCGGGAATCCATTTTGAAATTGCACGTTGCACAGATTGTTTATACTCTTGACGTTTCTATTCATAATTTACAAAGAGTTCTTCACAATAAAGAGTTAATTAATTTCTATATTTGCTTCAAAAATTTTTAACACTTTGAGTGCCATGTCACCCATATCTGGGTGATGTGTAAATTTCCGCAAAGGCCCCGTCGCGTCCATTTGTGAGTGACAGTCTTATTTATCCGATTAAGAATAATTTTACTAAATATTTAAGACGTTAAAGAAATAATATAAATTTTATTGAGACATAAGAAAAGCAATAAAATATTAAAACAACATATTAGATAATATTAAGTTCAAGGTGCCAAAATCAGTTTGGCATTCAAAGTGTTAAACGTATCGTTGCTTACCTTAATATGAAGTCTTTGAATATTATGCACCGCAATCATTGTAGAAGGTAAACCTTGAGCGAGGCAAGACACGATAATTTCCTTGCCCCAATCGTCTATAATATCTCTTTGCGTACCATCGTTTGTTTGACTCGCGACAGAAGTAACAAAGAGTATCGTGGTAGCAACTTTGGCTGCGTCTAATGTTGCTAAAACGTCGCCCATCGACGGTACGACGATAGAAAACCGCCGTTTCAGTCTTGGAACACTAAAATAATACAAATACATAAATATATGTGTATTATATAAAATATTAACAAATTTTTAATTTATTTTACTAATAATAGAATAAGCAAGTTCTTTTCCCGTTTTATAGCTTACCCAATATGTATAATGCCATTTGGACTAGTAGCAACATTAGCAGTTTCAGCCATGTTAGTTACAGCAGATACAATGTTCTTTATGTCCACGTCACTTTGCAACGGTATAACGCAGATAAGAATAGGTGCCGAAAAAAAACCACCGAGATTTCTCTTCTGCGCAAGTACTTGCTCGCGCTTCTTTCTTCTTAATTGCAACAATTGGTTTCTACGTTCATCTTTCCGAAGATTCTTCTCAAAACGCTTGGATGACTTTCCGATAACATTCTGTTTACCTATGCAAGAAAAAATAAGATATATCCTCTTGGAAATCAAAGAATGTTCCGTTTAAAACAGCATGTAGAATTTTAGTCGCTAGATTTTTACGAAAAGCTTACTACTTGTCAATTGAACGAGTCGGCTGTACGGTTGTAATTTTTATATTTTTATTACAAAATTTGTTAATATGTATATTACGTATATAGAAAGTTCACCTTTCAGATCGTTATTGATGGTACTTTTACTTCGATGCCTTCCGGTTTTGTGCTGTTTATTAGATTGTTTGAGCGCTCCTGGTCGATGCGTCTCTTGTTTTATCATATTCATTGTAACGAACTCGATACAACTATCCGAAAAGAAAAACAATAATTAATCGCCACGTGGTAGCCGGAGTAGTAACATAACCTATACATACACCAATATGGAATACGGTGTCGTATGTGTGACCCAAGCGGGGCGCGGGGCAGCGTTCCAAGGAGAAGCAAACTCAGGTACACTCAGGTGCACTTTATGCACTAAGTGCACGTTAAACTGCACTTTATTCCGTATTTTATTTATTATAAATTTTTAAGAGCAAAAATGCAAAATCGGGCTCTGTAGCTGACTGCATTATTATATAAAGAGTATATAAAAAAAAATTCACGAATTTATGTAATTTATTTTATGAGAAATCTTGTTATTACGAATCCGTTTGATTGGTTAACTTGGATGACGCGTGCCGCGCTCAGTGGAAACTCGGCCTAATTGGTTCTTACCTTTGGATCCAACCAATCACACTTAAGGCTGCGTTCGGGGAGCGTGCTATTAGCGCTATTGCATCGTTCTATCTTTATCGCTCATCAGGTGTAAAACAAGGATAGAATAAGCAAATAGCGCTGATAGCGCGCTCCCCGAACGCAGCCTTAATTCGTCATGGGTATAGCGACTCTCACACCTCATTGGCCGGAATACGGAGCGATGGAGAGCCGCCTTAAGACTTATACACCAGCGCCGCAATCGTAAGCGTGCGCACCTACAACGGCCGAAACGACACTCGTACCTCGTGTCTCGATAAAGGTGCCAATTCATGGGACGCTGAAAAACAGCGTTGAGCGACGTCACGTGACATCACTATGATGCCAGCGTCAAGAAAGAGAAGTTGGATTTTTCCAACTTCAAGCGTCAAAGCCAAAGCAACGCGAAGACGCCGAAATTTTGACGCTGTTTTCCTTTTCATGAATTTCAATTGACGCCGGCGTCAATTGTGGTCATGCGACCTTCTTGCCGCTGAAAATGAGCGTCGAGCGTCAGCATGAAAAGGCACCTTAATAACGGACGGATCACTCTTACGTTCTTATAGTCAGGCATAACGTACTTTCGCATAGTGTTCACGACAACCCGCATAATACATATTGTACGCGAGGTCCGTGACCTATCTCGTTATCGAGCTAATTACTCATCAGTGTAAATACTTACCGTTAAAACTGTACATACTTTGTGATTTGTGATACTACGTTCTTGTAAATATATGATTGTCTAATAACCCGAGTCATTACTTGAGCACGCAATCCTGATCGGCCATCGCGGCCAATGGTAGAATTCGTACACGCGAAACCCTACATGGGTAGCGACTATTGCGCGTCCCTAGCGGCCCCGAACAGAACCTTCCAAGTCGTGTATTGATGCGATTCAAAAATCGGGCGCGTATGCGAGTTGTAAAATGAATTTTTTAATAAACCTTAGTAAAACTTAATTGATTATGTTGGAGGTGGTTTGAGAGCGTATGTTGAAGGGGAGAATGTACTGAAGGCAAACCACCTTATGTATGTTGGAATAATTTCCCAAAAAAGTAGAGGAAATAAAAATAATGTCCTTGTGCTTAAAAAGCTCGGATTTGTTTGGGTGCTTTGCCTTCAATACATTCTCCCCTTCAACATACGCTCACAAACCACCTCCAACATAATCAATTAAGTTTTAAGCGGAGAGCACACACTTCTGCACAACGCATAATGCGTAAGCATAAGAAAATTGATTGGTCCATACACATATGCATAAGGAAATAGACCAATCAGTTCTCTTATGCTTACGCATTATGCGTTGTGAAGAAGTGTGTGCTCCCCGCTTAAATAAAGGATTTATTAAAAAAGTTATTTTACAACTCGCATACGCGCCCGATCTTTGAATCGCATCGATACACGACTTGGAAGGTTCTGTTCGGGGCCGCTAGGGACGCGCAACAGTCCA